CAATGGGGTAGATTGATCATGAACTGGAATTTCTAAAACCATCTGCCAATGTAGACTTTTCCTCTTTACAAGTTGGTTAATTCAGGTATTTTGTTACAGTAGCAGAAAGCTGACTAACACATGTACAAAACAGAAAACTTGGCATCCTATTAAAAATATCTAACATTTATTGAGAACAAAGTGTATGCCAGGCATTAAGGATATATTCAACAAAAAATCATGAAATAAGACCACTTTTCATTCCCATCTTATAAGAGAAATGTATTGCTCAGTTATGATAGATTCCTCACAGCTATGTTGAAGGTAACTCAGGTGCTGATGGTGCTCTGACCTCCAGAAAACTATAGGTTACAAGTAGATGAGCTGGATAGCTTATGCATCCCTCCAGAACTCACTCATCCTTCACCTCCTTTTCCTGTACCCCCAGGCTCCTAGCTGGATATGGTCAATGTGAAACCATAGTCCAGAAATAAATAAGAAAGGAGAGTAAGGTTGTCATGTTTGCTTCTTCATGGAGCAATATCATGAGTGTTGGTGTCTTGATAAGTCAGCAACTCCTGGCAAGCAGGCCTCTCACACCACAGTCTCTTTCTCTAGTTTCTAGTAATTGCTGCCCACTGTAGGCCTTTCAGAAGGCATAGCGCCCTACTCTTCCCTGATGTGAGGTACAGCACCACCCGTCTATCCAACTGGAGTGTTGTCTCTTTCTTGTCAGAATCCTGATAGATTTATACTGTCTATCAGAATATGTTTCATCAGAAGTGAATTATAAAATCCATGGGTACTTTTCTCATCCCTGTGGAGGAGATAGAACCTGATTATTATGTAAGGGCAATAAACTAGGCATGTCTGATCACTTCGGTTTCTGTCTCATATACAGCATTTCATAAATTGGATTAAAAACAACTATGAGTCAATACATATTTTAAATACTTAAATTTCTAATTAACTTGAACATGCTGCTATATGAATATATCTTGGCAATTTCTGTCTGATTTCCTTATTCTTATTGTCTCACCCTACAATTTAGAATACATGTTATGTATTTTCACTCCATGTCAAACTCAAAGCAATGGTGGTCTTTTTTTTAAAAGCCCTAAAGAAATGCAGCTTATGAAGAATAAAGTTTTGGGGGTTCTCCTAGGAAGAACTTAGAATTGTGCAAAATTAGAGTGTACAGCATCACATCTATCGAATACTGGGAGGACTATAGATTTAAAGAGATCATTAGTTTTAATGATGGCACAAAAGTGTTTTATGAACAACCTAACTGAGCTAGGTGGAGTAAGTTTAAATAACTCTAGTCTCAGTCATGTTCATTGTATACTTTGGTTCTAATGGAAGCACACTATATTTACCAGGAAGATATGAATGACACAATCCAGATTTATTTTCCCTTTGTTCAAACTTGTGTATCTCATGAACTAATGATGCTCAGTGATAAAATTCTCTCTGAGTAAGCATTACCTTGGCAAATTTTCTGACTCTTCTGTTTATGTGTCCCCATCCTACACCAAATCATATCATCTCCTATGCTGCTTATTGCCTTGGCACACGCCCTGCCAACCTGGGACTATTCATTGCATGTACCTCCTTTATGGAATGGGTGGCACTTTGTGGATAGAACACAGGCATTCAGAAAGAGTGCAGTCAGTGTTTGTGGAATTTATGCAAGATGCTTGGAGCAATGACAATGAAAAATAATGGGCCCAAGAGTACATTCTGTATTTTTAGAGTGGGGCATGCTCTCTAACATGTCTGTTGCCATTTACTTTGATGACTTTGACCTGATTATAAAGGAAAACCCCAAAGAATTTCAAAATAAGAATAGGAAAATGAGTACTTAAATTACTTATTGTATGTTATAGCCCTAGTTAAATCAAAATTTGTGGTGAAGAACATCACTTAAGAATTCTGAGAGCTTGGTTATCTGTCTTGTGGTAGCATATATCATAATGTAACAATGAGGAATTAAGCCAAATAATAGAATGTAAACTTGGAAAAAAACCCAATAGCTGCATGAGTCATAATACATTATTCTAAAGGAATTAGTTTTCTCATTATATGAGTTGGCAAAAGCAATTTCAACTTGCATCCATCAATATGAGTTGTTTTGGAGCAACACATCTGCTAAAAAATAACTACTTAAAAAGTCAATTTTTAAAAAACCCCAGAATAAATCATCTTGATATGAGAATGTGTGGGGTTCAAGGTCCAGTAGAGAGGGAGAACCAACAAAGATGAGGCTGGAACATGACATTAAGTGCTTCTTCAAAGAAGTATTTGTCAATTCCAAAGGAGTGGCTGAGATTACAAGGGAGTGAACAGATCTCTCAGCAGCCCAGGCTAGTTTAGAGGCAGAAAAATTAGAGTTCAGGGCTGCCGAGAGGAAGAGCCTAGAAAATCCTCCAGAGCTGGGTTGAACCCAAACTACTATGTTTAGTGAACTAAATCAAAGAGGTCAGTCCCTTGGTGCAGTTCTACTTCTGTTTGGTTAGCTCTCTGCCAGAGCAGAAATTAACCATCTAGGGCCCAAATATCATTTAGAGACTCAATTTTTCTCAAAAATCTTTTGTATACAAAGCTCAGTTTTCTATAAAAATTAAGTGCTCAAGAAGGCCCAGAGGAAAAGTAGACAATTCAAACAGATCCAGAGATGATCTAGAAAACGGAGTTATCAGACAAAGGCTTTAAAGACATAGCCACAATCAGTATGTTCAAGGAATTGAAGACAAACTAGAGGGTTTAACAAAAACAAACAAATAAACTAAAAGAGCCAAATGGAAATTCTAGAAATGAACTTATATTGATATGTAGTAGGTAGATACAGTATATAGGTGAGTAGAGATAAAGATAGATAGGTAGAGAGATAGATAATTCTACCTATCTATCAAATTAAGAAATTAATGGACACCTTTAAGAGAACACACATCTGAAAAACATTTAGGGAAAAGAGAATATCGAGACCAAATACCAACCGCCTAGCTTCTCTTCACCTATCAATAAACCCGAAAACAGGGAAAAGGAGGTTAACAGGCATACTGAATATGTGTAAAGAGCTAACACAGGAGTTCCTGGGATCCCAAAAGACAAACAGGAAAAGCCAAAGCAATGTCTATAGAGAAAACTAGCATATGCTGATGTCTAAACGGATAATGTCAAGCCACAGTACCAATTGAACTATGAGCAACAAAGGAAAATATGAAGAAAAAGAAATGAATGTGCATTTGATAAAACTGTTGGAAAACAAAGGACATCATTTTAAGAGTGGGAAAAGAAGCAGGCTGTGGTGGTGCAGAGCCATAATCCCAGCACTCTGGGCGACGGAGGCAGGAGAATTGCCAGTTTAAACCTAGCCTAGGCAACTTGGCAACTTAGCAAGACTGTCTCAAAATAAAAAATTACAGGATGTAGCTCAATGAAAAAGCCCTGGGTTCAATTCCCCAAGTCCCCCCCTCCAAAAAAAAAAAAAAAAAAAGAAAAGGAAAGAATGGCCAGAGGAAAAGTGTCATCTTCAGAAAACTAAACAAAAATGGAAGGCCACCTTCCCCTCAAAAGACAATGGAAGTTATAAGAAAACTCAATGTTGTTTTCAAAGAGCACTAAAGGACAAAGAAAAATTAAACAAAATCTACCAACCTAAAATTTTATATCCAGAAAACATACCTCAAAATATTTTCAAACAAAAAGTGAGTGAATTTCTTGCCAACACATTGAGCATAAAGTATATGCTAAATAATGTTCTTCAGGTAGACTGAATATAATTCCACCGGAAATTAAGGATTAACAACCAGTGGAAATAAATGTAGGTAAATCTAAATTAATACTGACTGCTTTAAACAATTACTATTACAATGTCTTGTGGTGATTGAAATATATATCAAAGTATCTATCAAGTTAAAATGTCTAAAAATAGTAGTATTAAAAGTGAAAGGAATGGACGGGAATTTAGCTCAGTGGTGCTGCTGCCTGCCTCACAAGCGCAAGGTCCCGAGTTTGATTCCTGGAACCAAAAAAAAAAAAAAAAAAGTGAAAGGAATATAAATTGTCTTAGTGTTCTGAGATGATTGCCTCCATAAAGCAAAAGAACAAATGTGTATACATATTGTAATATTTGGTGTAATTATTAAAAAGTTTAAAAGAATCTAATTATCAAGTCAGTATGGTGAGAAAATGAATAATAAATAGCACTTATTTCAAAAGTAGTGAGGACAAAACAAGTACATAGTCCAGTTGGATAAAATAAGAAAAAAGAGTAAAATTATAGGTTGTAGAAAAAGAGCAGAAATTACTTTAAAGAAAAAATGAAATCAATCCTTTTTTTTTTTTTTGGTACTGGGGATCGAACTCGGGTCCTTGCGCTTGTGCAGCAGGTGGCAAAACCACTGAGCTAAATCCCTGGCCCAAAAATCTGATAAATCTTTTTTTTTTTTTCCGGTACTGGGGATCAAACTCAGGACCTTGTGCTTGTGAGGCAGGCACTGGAACCACTGAGCTGAATCCCCGGCCCTTGAAATCAATTCTTCAATTAAAGTACAAAAGTTATCAGATTGGATTTATATATATCACTAAGATGCAGAAAAGCAGAAGGGTGAATAGCAAAAGCAATCAGATAACTTTTATAAGAATAAAGCTAATATAAATTTTTAGTTTTAATTAAAATTTTTTAATTTGTAAATTTCACATTCACATATAATTGCAAGAAATACTATAGAGATTTCTTGTATCTTTTACTCAGTTTCCCACAGTGGTAACATCTTTCCAAGCTATAACACAGTATCAGAACCAAGATATTGCTGTTGATATTTTTAACATATAAAATACTCTCAGCACCATAAATGTCCTCCATGGACCTCTGTATGCACACACACTTACCTTTTGTTCCACTCCCTCCAAAGCAAAGGAAGCCATTAAAGCATTCTTCATTTCTAAAATTTTATCATTTTAATAACCTTATATAAATGAAATATACAGTATGCAAACTTTGGGAACTGACTTACTTAGCTCAACTCTCCAGGAAGACTCATCTGAGTTGTGTTAGTAGAAGGCCATTTGTCTTCATAAAAGAGATGGACTGGTGTGTTTGATGTTTACCTGTTGAAGAATATTTGGATTATTTCTAGTTTTCAGCTATTACAATAAAGGTGCAAGAGCGTGCATACATATTCTTTTTGAATAAAAGATTGCTCAGGGATAAGCACCCCAGACTACAATTATCGGGTCATATGGTAGTTGGATTTTTAGGTTTTAAGAAACAGCTGCATATTTTCTAAATGGCTGCCTCATTTTATATTCCCAGTGGCAAGGGATGAATGATCTAGTTGTTGCTACTTTTTGTTTGTGTGTTTTAGCCATTCTCATGGTGTGTAATGATATCTAATTTTGATTTTAATTTACACTTCCCCAATGGTTAATGATGTTGAATATCTTTTTTCTGTGCTTTTTTTGTCACCTATACATTTCTGTTCATGTCTTTTACCCATTTGATAATTAGAATTTTATTTTTTAATGTATCGTAAGAGATCTTTATGGATCCTAGCTAATTGTTCTTTGTCAGATATTTGATTTCTTCCAAGTTTGCTTTTTATTATCCTTAGAGAGTCTTTCATAAAGCAAAAGTTTTAAATTTTGAGAAAGTGTAGTATTTCAGGTTTTCTTTTTAGTGACTTTTTTGTGGATCAATTCTAAAAATCACTTGCCCTGCTCCAATTCCTGAAGATCTTCCTATGCTTATTTTTCCAAATACTTTATACTTTCATGTTTTATACTCAAGTCCATCATCCATTTTGAGTTAATGTTTTGATGAGGTTTAGGTTAAGGCTTGTTTTTCTTTTAATTGTGGACATCCAACTGCTTCTACACTATTTATAGGAAAAGCTACTAAGAATAGAATTTAAAAATTGAGACTTAATTATATGTTCACTATAAGAGAAACACTTTAAATATAAAGATATGGATACTTTGAAAGTAAAATGATGGAAAAATATGCAACAGAGAGCATAAATTGTTGTGGTTATATTTTAAATACAGTGGGTATTAATGTCAAGATAAGGAATAATACTAGCACTGAAAAGGTGTCAGTTTAAGAGGAAGATATAAAAATCCCAAGTGTTTAAGTAGCCAATAATAGAACTTCCAAATACACAATGCATTTCTATATATACCTATGGAAATTAATAGAACATGTATAAAAAGAATTACACAAATCAAGGGGGGAGGGGATTTAGCTCAGTGGCACTGTGCCTGCCTAGTAAACACAAGGTCAGGAGTTCAATCCGCGGTATCAACCCCCGCCCCCCCCAAAAAAACAAAGAAAGAATTACAAACACCAATGCCCTTTGGCCCATAATAAATGGATCAAATAAAAAATTAAAGTGTTTGTCATGTGATCTACACAATCAACACACTAGACGTAATGGAGTAGACAAACTAGACATTTATGGAGTATTTTACCCAAAAGTAGCAGAATATGCATTCCTTTCAAGAGCACATGTTAGGTTTACCACATAAGGGTATTTTCCTGGGCAAGAAAGTAAATGTCATAACATTTCAAGATTGATTAAATTATAGAAAATGTCACCTGACCATTGGGGTATTAGATTAAAAAATCAGTGGCAATAAGACACTCAAAATATTTTCAAATATTTGGAAGTGAACATACTTACAAAGAACTAACCAATCAAATAAGGAATCATAAGGGAAATTAGACAATACACTGAGTTGACCAGCAGTGAACACAGTCATATGTGGTGTGATCCAAATATACAGTGAATGTTTAAATTTTAAAAAATTACAATTGACACCTTGCCATTAATCCTCCACAAATACCCCTGCTTGCTTTGAACACACTTATCCTATCATTCATGTCACTTTCTGAAGCAGGTCTGGAGGTCCTCTTTCCTATCTTTACAAAGTGTGATAAAAAAATATGTGAGTATTGCTGCCAGTCTCTTCCAATGGTAAGGCAGGTTTGTAAAGTCCTTACTGTGTGTCTTCACCCCCTTATTCATGGGACCCAGTACCACATGGCTCTAGGCTCTTCCCCAAAGTCAGAATGACCATGAAGGCTAAGTGTTTTGTATTGATTCAGGACTCAAAACAGCCACAACAATATGACTAAAGACTCTCACAAAAGAGGACTTCCAGAACGGCATCAGAAAGTGGCAGGAACATTGGGCAAGTGCATTCAAACCAAAGGGGAATATTTTAAGAGCCACTGATGGCAATGTGTCTTACTGTAATTTAAAGAACTTCAACATTTATCATATTTTTAATCACATCTCACATAAAAACTTGTGAGATACAATTAAATCAGTTCTTAGAAGGAAACATAATCTTTAAAGGCCTGTATAAGAAGAGAAATTTGAAATACATGAGAACTTGATAGGAAAAAGAATAAATTATGTGAAAGGAGAAAAAGGGAAGAACAAAGAATATGACATAAAAAACCATGAATTTGAAACTGTAACTGTATTAGGGTTCTCCAGAGGGACAAAGAGGAATTACAGCTATGTGCAGATGTAGATGTAGGTATAGGTATGGGTGTAGATGTAGACATAGAAAAGACTTTATGGGGATTAGTTCACATGACCATGGAGGTATGGCAACAGGTTTTCTGAAAGTTGGAGACCCAGGGAATCCAAGGGTATAATCCAGTTCAAGTCCAAAGGCCTCAAGGAATCTAATGTGTGACTCATTCCAAAGCTGGAGGCTTGAGATCCCCCCAGCCACTGATGCAAAGCTCAGAGTCCAGACTGAAGGAGCTGAAGTTCTGCTGTCCAACTACTCTGACTACGAACTCATGTGCCAGTCTCCCTTGGGCACACCCTCCAACACACCCAGAAATAATTCTTTTTCAGCTGGCTAGGCTTTGCTTCATTCTATCAAGCCAACACTTAGATTACTCATTACGCACAATCTTAATACTAAAAATGAACATGATGTCATAGGACATAAAAACTAGGAGTGGTTTTATTTATTTATTGGTGACAGAAATTTGTAATATAGAATAAAAAGAATAATTTACTATAGCAGCAAAAATATAAAATACTTAGGAATTAACTCATCAAAAGATATGCAGGATTGTACACTTTTTCTGAGAATTTAAAAAATATTTAAATAAGGGACAACATATGCTATATTTCTAGATTAGAATATTCAATTTTGCTAAAATGTCAGTTATCTCTAAGCTGATATACAGATTTTATGCAATCCCAACCAACATCCCAAATGGATTTTATTTCATTGGAAATTTTCAAACTGGTTGTTAAACTGTATATAGAAACACAAAGGATCTAAAATAGCTATAGCAATCTTGAAGAATATGGACAAAGATGGATAACTTACATTGTCTAATTTAAAGACTTACTAAATTTTAATAATAAAGGTATTTGGTGTTGGCATAAAAATAGACAAGATCAACCACATATAAAGTCTAGAAATTGGCTCACACATTTGTGATAAAGGGGACCAGCCACAAAAACTTTTAGGAAAAAAATGACACAAAAATTAACTTTAGATATGTAATAGTTCTATATTTAAAATCAAGCCATAAATTTGCTGAAAAAAAAACCAACAGATGAGTATACCACAATTTGGAGAGAGGCAAAAGATACAGTAAGTGTTAAACCTAAAATATCTTACAGTGTTTAGATTGATTTTCATTCATATTCTAATCTTTTGCTTATCATAAGCAGCACAGAAAGAAAATGAAAAGGGAGGACATATACTGAAAGACAATATTCTCATTACATATCTCTGACAATGACTTATATGCAGAATAGTTAGTGATACCTTACTAATCCATAATAAAAATACACACAGCTCACAATAATGGTCAAAATATTTTGTCACAGAGGAGTGCACATGAAAGCACATTAAACAAACAAAAGTATTAAGTATTTATGAAATGTAAATCAAAAATTAAACAACATACTTCAATGCCCAACAGAATAGGTGAAATACAAAGGGCCTCTCAACACAAAATATTGGTTACCATACTGAACATATGGAACAACTAGAACTTTAAATGTAAAAATATTTAACACTTTGGAAAACTCTTTCTAAAATTATGAGCCATACATCTGCCCTCAGATGCAGCAATTCTACTAAGACATTTACCAAGGAGAAACAAAAATACACGTTCTTTGTAAAAGGTTTATAACACTCCCAGCTGGGGAAAACACAAATGCCCAGCAGCATGAGGGGGCCTTTGTGACGTTACTGGGATGCGTTTGTTATTTGCCAGCCAGTGATACAAAAGAATACACTACTGAGATACACAACAGAAGGGATAAATCCCCCAAACTCTTACATTATGCAAGGAAATGAGACACAGAAGAGCACATTAGTATGTTTCCATTCATACAAAGTTTTAAAACAGGTCCTACTGATCTGCAGTGATTAGAAATCCATAGTGGTTGCCTGAGGGAGGAGGGCTGGTTTCGGATCAAGTCAAAGAGCCACATGGGAGCTCTGAAGGGTAGTGGGAATCGTCTTTTATTTGCTGTGGGTGTTGCAGCATTTCAAAAATCACTGAATTGTGTGCCTGAGCCTTCTGTATTTCCCCATACATAGATTTTTTTCCTCCATAAAATTATTTAAAAGTACTAGAGCTAACATATATGAAAGATGCTCTTGTGTCACCTTCCAAGATACACAAATGGTCTCCAGAAAATGTGCACATTTTACACAGAAAATAGGCAGGAGGGGTTACAATTTCCTTTCTATTTCTTAGTTTGCCTCACAGAATCAGGAAAACAACAATCACCTCTAGTTGTTAGAAGCCATTCAGTATTTATCATGTTGTGTATATGTTAAGATCACAATAATAACAAATTTTCAAGTAGAATGGCTCAAGTTCAATAATGATTTAGCCTCACTCTCTTCATTTCCAGGTGGATCTCCTTCAGGCGGTGTTCAGGGGCCCAGGCTCCCCTCACTGTGGCTCCACCCCTTTGCCACATAGTTTTACAGGTTGCTGTCATGTCTTCTCTGTCCAGCCAGCTGGGAGGGAAACCAACCTGGAGTTGCGCCAGGCAGGCTTTCTGACGCCAGGATGGAAGGAGCTCCTACTGCCTCTACTCATCCTAGCT